CAGGTGCCTTCCTAGTAGTAACAAGGTTCGCTACTAGAAACAAGTGCATCGCTCCACAACATCTCTGTTGAGGTCTTTGCTCGCTTCGAGTATGTCGCGCCGCTCCTCATTGGAGTTGACAAGCTCCGCCAACGAAATCAAGCTTCGTCCTGCAGATTTTGATGTGGCCATTGGGGCTCCTCGCGCCAACGACACGAACAAGTGAAAGTCCTGCCCACTTCCACAGCTGGTGTTGAAGTCACTTCACTCTCAGATATCTTCAAAATCCCATTGCAAACATTCCCTCAGTTCAAGATGCAGCTCCTTTTTTCTAACAAGCTGTCAACAAATAGATGGCAAATAAGAAGAATGGGCCTGAAGAATGTCTCCCACCAACGTGATTGACCCCTTGTGCATCATAGTGTGTCCCGGTACCATGTCACACTGGACAAGAGAACTTAAGCTAGTTGAGAAACTAAAGGTTGTGCCAGTTGGAGGGCTTTGGCAATGGCGCTTGGAAACATCTATGTTGCCACTGTTTCTGTCTGCTCTTCTCTAAGGTTGCACTTTAAGATTCGAAAAAGAGATATAAAGGCACTTTTTACGGGGATAGTAATTAGTTTGGACCCACCCGCTAGGATGTGTCGTAGTTGTTTTCGTGCAAGTGGGATTGACATCTCTCAGTCACCTTGCAACAAGCTACAAATAGAACCTCTCAAAAGTAAACGGACATCCATCGATGAACCTCACAGCCAATCACCAAAGGTACCTTCTTTGCCAAAAAAACCTCCGAAAGCAGTCGAAAACGGAATCACCGAATCAACCGAGACACGCCTGGGCTGCTTGTTTCTGGCATTCGTTGCGGTGGTCGTGGTGGCACTGGCGGGCCCCATGGGTGGGGCCCACCGCCACAGCCTCCCCAATATCCCCAGCCTTGGTGGCGGTTGATCCGGTGTCTGGACGAGGCCAAGCATGAATGACCAAAAGAATGGCCAGAACGCTTTTGGCTTTTCTGACTTTGACATTGATCGGTTGCGGCCAGAAAGACTTTCAGTGGGTTTAGTTGTAGATTTTTTGGTTTCCGGATAAAGATCTAAAGACGCTACTAGGAACAAAGGGCATCGTTACTAGGGGCTCCTGGCATCGCTACTAGGAGCATTCTTACAACTAGGAACAAGGACGCTACTAGGAGCTTTCCCTCTAAAGATCCTTCAACTCGCAAGAGGCATCTGATGCTGAGGCTCAAACCTGGTGACTTGGCGTAGTGCGGATACCACATGGCACAATCTACGAATGAACACACAAATCTAGTAGCTTCTTGTTACTACTAGTAAGGCACTTGTTACTAGTAGCGATGCACTTGTTCCTAGTAGCTTCTTGTTACTACTAGTAAGGCACTTGTTACTACAAGCGATGCACTTGTTACTAGTAGCATTGGAGGCCTCTCACTGCTGAACCTTTTGACGTGAAATCTCATTTTCCCGATTGGTTTCTTAACGCGGCGACTGCAAAGCCAAACGCGGTCTCTCCATCTTTTTCCCATTCCCAAGCCAAACGCTTTTGACATTGCCTGGCCATCTGGAGAGCATGGCCACCGCAGCCTTTTGCGCGGTTTTGAATCTCTCGGGCTGAGTTCCGTCGAAAGACCTGGAAGCTCACGATGTTCCTGTTCGATTGTCACTCTGTTCCGAGAAGACCCACTATCTGACACTATCTACATTCCAGCATTGGCTCAAAAACATCCCAGGAGCATGCCTCTGTGTCATGCGATCTTTTGACCTGTCCTGCTCCTTTGATATTTGAGCAAATTTGGCAGGGCTCTAGGATTCATTCCTTTGATTTTGTGAGCCAGCACTTTGTCACAAGTCGTGACTAACCCTCAAACATCTTTATCCACATGCTTGTCTCAACTCACCCTCAGTCCATCTCGTCAAAGATCAATGCCTTGCGCTTCAGATCAGAAACGTCTCTAAAAGAGGGGGTTAAGAAGGGCTTCTTGCGGGAAGCGATGGCCTCCAACCTACTAGCGTCCTTGCTCCCAGTAGCGATGCCAGGAGCCCCTAGTAGCGTCCTTGCTCCGAGTAGTAAGGCCAGGAGCCCCGAGTAGCGATGTTGTTTGCTCCTACTAGCGATGGCCTCCCAGCTCTGCATACTTGACAGGTCTTGTTGAAATACGGAAGATCAGTTTGGAAGTTGCCACATCCGCAATGAGCTCCATCGCTAAGTTGGAGGCCATCGCTAATGGGTTGGAGGAGACGCTATTAGGTTGGAGGCCATGCCTATTAGGTTCCTTTTGCTATTATTAGGTTGGAGGTCGTCGCCATCAGGATGACACATCGTGTTTGGCTCCCGTCGAATCGCACCAGCACGAGAAGTGCACCGCCGCAGCATTGCACGGCCTCGGCACATTAGCGACCATTGAGTCAATCCCTGAAACTCCCAGGAAGTAGCACAGCTCCAGTAGCAAACTATAGCAAGCTCTGAGCAAGCTCGCATGAGGGGTTTTGGTCCATACCTCCACCCAGCTTGGCATGGCAAAAGTTCAGCAGCCCACGTATGTTCGCCCACAAAGTTGATGACTTCGAAGACTTGAAGAAAGAAAGGTCCAACAACGAGCAAACACAATAAGAATAGACATATAAGAAATGCATCCATGCATCTCCATGTTGTCTTTCTGTCCAAAGAGTTGCTTCTGCATCTGCAGAGTGGCAGATCTGGGTTTCCCGTGCTCTCCAGCCTCGGGCCTTCCACTTCTCGTACTCTTCAGGGTCCGAGAACATCTGAGGAGGCGTGAGCTTCGGTGAGCTTGCAGATTCCAGAACTGAATTCTCCACGGACCACGCTGAATGCCCCCAAGTCCGAGCGAATTCAAATTTCCCAACAGGGGTCACACATGGCCTCTTGACATGAAATATACAACCAAGAAAGAAATGCCGATGCTGCATGATGCTGCGACACTTGTGGCTTTGATCGACTTTCTTTGCGTAACATGGCTCCACACTTGGCCAACTTGGGACTCGTGGCTCAAGCGGCAGCGACCCAAAAGTCCAGGCCTTTGTATTGTAGATGGAAGACAGAACGCCCTGAGAAGCACATGGAAGCAAAATGCAATGATATCAAAAGGCTTGTCAGCAAAAGCACTTAAGACATGTCAAAACTACTCAAAACTAAGTGCAGCAAGACAATTGTATCTATATGAAATGACATCCCAAAGATCTGGAAAACACATGATTTCCAATACTTATATAACATTACCCCCCAATATAATTCTCCCCGCAAAAAGGAAAACACACACATTGTTCCAATACAATCCACTTAAAGAGTATGCTAAAACGGAAACTGTTGACTCAAACTTAATTGAATGTGGGAGAAAACCTCGAAACAGGTGTTGCTTCATTTGTGTTCCAACGTGTTTGATATTGAATTCGCATTTTGTTGCTTAGACATTTGTCTATAGAGTCTTTGTGTTTGTTGGTCCAGCCTACTTGTGAAGACTTGTTTGAATATGTTGTTTGAGTTGTTTGAGTTCTTTTTTGATGTCTTAAGATGCTTTTGTCTTCAAGTCCTTGAGACTTTTTGTTTCTGGGATGTCTTGGGTCCTCTTTCTCTTGGGACCTGCACAAGCATTCTTGAAATCCAAAACATGCTTCCAAGAGGAAGAGGGAAGGAAGAGGAACATCCCATCTTCATCTGAACAGGGGGAAGCAAAAAAGGATCATGTTCTGAAGGCCCCAAAGAATCACTTCAAACTTCAAACATTTATCGTCTACTTTAGGAGGCTCCCCGTTCTCTTGGATCTGCCCTTCTTCCTCCAAACAGGGAAAGGTCCTTGCAGTGAAACACACTGTCTCAGATTGTGCTAGGTTCGACACGTCAGGTGCGTCGGTATCCTCATCCTCCTCACTGGATGAGTCCTCACGGACGAGGACGGACCAAAGCAGAGCTACACAACTCGACGGACTGGACCGCTTCGAGTTGGTGAACGAGACCGCTTCGATCCCTGAGAGTCCGGTGATTCCTTTCGAGTGATTGCTTCCCGACCTCCTCTGCCAGGTCGGACGACTTCAAGGCGCAGGGGAACATGAAGGCATCGGGCTTCGGATCCCTCGGATCGCGTCAGCGTGGCACTTCAAATCTGGAAATGGTGAAAGCCAGAACACGGTCACGGTCGTTAGCTAGCAGAAGATAGTTTTAAAGTTCCCCAAACACGGAACGAGTCTGCAAAAAATGCGGAGCCTTGCTGTCGGTAAGTTGATGTTAAACAAGAGATGAGCGGCAAACCTGCAGTGAATTTGTTTTGCTACTTTGAATATTGCACAAAACACTTCCAGCATCAAGTGCCCCGACGCCGCATCCTCCTGACATGTTTCCTGGCAGACAAGCAATCGCAGAAGGCCGAGGACATTGACAAAGCATTTGCTAAGGTTCGCTATTAGGTTGGCCAACCTACTAGGGATGGCCTCCAACCTGATAGCGATGGCCTCCAACCTAATCGACATGGCCTCCTTCCATATAAAATAGAACTATGACTACCCGCAATAATGGTGTCTGTTGGTGGTACCTCCTGTTAGTGGTCTGACCCTTGGTCATAACCTGGGCTGGTGCCCACAAAAGCCTCTGCAAAACCTGCATGATATGATTTAGAGTTTCGACCAAATAGACTGGCTCGAGTCAAGTCTCTCCTCTTGAGAAGTTGGTGAACCAATTGTTTATCTATCACTGCGCGTCTGTGCGGGAAGTCACGGGAAAGGACTCTTGTTCTCTTCGGAGCTTCGGGCCTCAGCCTCTGTGTTTTGTGCCTGGTGAGCCAAGCCGGTGCTTTGAGATGAATTCTGAAGGTCAGGAGCCCCTAGTAGCGTCCTTGCTCCTAGTAGTAAGGCCAGGAGCCCCTAATAGCGTCCTTGCTCCTAGTAGCGATGCCAGGAGCCCCTAGTAGCTTCTGGGCTTGTAAGTTTTTTTCCTTGACATGATAGAACAGGTTCACATGCGGAAATGTTGTGGCAATGTTCTGTGGTTGCTACAGCTACTTTGAAGGTTTCTGAGCCATTTGGCCCACCTCGCAACGCACAACATGAACCAACTCTCCAATGAAAAGAGAGAAACTATGCAAGTTGTACAAATGAACACCCTAAGGTGACACAGAACCAAGCAAAAGGAGGATCAAAAGGGCAAAGATGAGTCAAGTACGTCCCACATGGAGCCACACATGTTGCCCTTTCTGCTTTTCCGTCCGGTGCCTCGCAAGGGTCCGCCATGACGGCCCAGGAGGCAAGGAAAGCGCCGGCTGCGCTGGTTACGAGGCTCACAGTGGCGCAGCACGAGCCGAAAGGATCAAGAAGCTACTAGGAACAAGAACACGATACTCGTGTGACAGCCCAAATGCGATGCTCAGTAGGTTCGAGGTCATCGCAAACCCAAAGAGATTCTCGTGTTGAACCGCCAAGCAAACAAACATGAGCTGAAAGGAAATCATGATGTCGTCAACACCTCTTGCAATCATATCCTATTGCAATGTGAGTGTACTCTTGTTAACTCTGACCTTTGTTTCCTTTCACACAGACCTTCAGGCCGCAACGGCCCTTTCACCTTTAATCTCTCTCGTCCCTCTTTTTCACCAACTTCCTGCGTGCCAAATGGGTCTCTTGGATTCGGTGTCAAGACATGACCATGTCCGCCGAAAATGGCACCAATTCTTAAAGCGGTCTTGTTCCAAAATCATTTGCATTCCAGTCTCAAGAGCGTTCTTCTGAGGAAGCAGTAACAAGGGCATCGCTACTAGGAGCAAGAAGCTACTAGGGGCTCCTGGCCTTGCTACTAGGAGCAAGGACGCTACTAGGAACAAGTGCATCGATACTAGTAACAAGTGCCTTACTAGTAGTAACAAAAAGCTATTAGAAACAAGTGCCACGCTAGTAGTAACAAGTGCCTTACTAGGAGCAAGGACGCTACTAGTAACAAGAACTCGGAGGAACGCTCACGTCTCCGAAAGGGCTACTAGTAAAGGGTATCTGAGGCGAGTAGCATTGGCCTATTTCGAACTAAGAAAATCCCAAGCCAAAACTGCCACTGTGCTACCCAGCAGAATTGTAATCTTGACATAATCATATGTATATACCACTCACCCACAATTTCTTTTGCTCAATCGGGGGAAAGCATCTCCAGCACATCTTCCAGAAATGAAGGTTGAACTCCGGAATCTTAGTGGACGCCACTAGGAACAAGTGCATCGCTACTAGTAACAAGTGCCTTACTAGTAGTAACAAGAAGCTACTAGTAACAGGTGCCACGCTAGTAGTAACAAGTGCATCGCTACTAGTAACAAGTGCCTTACTAGTAGTAACAAGAAGCTATTAGAAACAAGTGCATCGCTAGTAGTAACAAGTGCATCGCTACTAGTAACAAGTGCCTTACTAGTAGTAACAAGAAGCTATTAGAAACAAGTGCATCGCTAGTAGTAACAAGTGCATCGCTACTAGTAACTCCAGAAATGAAAGAATTTCAGACGATTGAGACATGTCTTGACAACGCCACAGCGGACCCGAGCGAAAAAACAGCCATCATCTGAGGCATCTGCAGTTAGAACACCTAAGCCTAAGGCCTAAGAACACTATGACCGCAAAATGGGAACAAGAAGCTACTTGGGGCTCCTGGCATCGCTAATAGGAGCAAGGACGCTATTGGGGCTCCTGGCCTTACTACTAGGAACAAGAAGCTACTAGTAAGAAAGGAATACGTCACAGATACACATCGATACACAGCTGCCAGTGATGATGCCATCTTTGGGCTTGCAGTTAGGACCAAGCCTGGCAACAAACGAAGAAACGAGTTCTCTTCGGGCTCTTCGCTTCGTTTCGTTTGACGGTTTGACCCGACCACCTCGGAACGAGCCAGGTTTTCAGAGCAGAGTTGGTCACATCCAACCAAATCCTCATCATATGGACGGTACTAGGAACAAGTGCATCGCTACTAGTAACAGGTGCATCGCTAGTAGTAACAAGAAGCTATTAGAATTAGTATTGGAATAAGGAACAAGAAGCTACTAGTAGCGATGCACTTGTTCCTAGTAGCGTCCTTGCTCCTAGTAGTAAGGCCAGGAGCCCCTTGTAGCTTCTTGTTCATGTTTATCTCAAAATCTTCCTAAAGTCTTGAAACAAAAATGAACACTTGCATATTAGAAGCACACCAGGAGTCTGGATGTTCTCCTCCCAAACTCGCAAAAGCTTCCTCACCTTCCTCACATGTCTTCTCTATTAGGTTGACAGTCATCGCTATTAGGTTCCTTTCTCATGAAATTCATCCTCATGAAACTCATTCTCTTTTCCTCACAGTCTCCTGCATCCGACGCCCCACAGTCACGCTCGCCTTCTTGTTGAGATGCTCCGATCCATCCCACTGCGTGAGGTCCGGTGGATTTTCGATGTACCTGAGGATGGAGCCACGAAGCGAAATGCCGACACGAAATGCTACGAAGTGAAAAAACACGAAGCCTTAAACTCTTCGTTTTTCGTTTTTGCTTCATTTTGCTTCATTCTTGATATATCTTGAGATCCTTTTCTTCTTGATTCTTCGCCTATCTCTCAAATGTTGCAAGGAAGCCCTTCCTGGATTCTGTGCGAAGCCACTCTTTAGGAGCAAGGACGCTACTAGGGGCTGTTTGAAGCCTGAGCCCCTGGCAGGTCACACAGGTCAATCATGTGCGAAGAGGGCTTGTCCTGGCGAGGTCTTGCGCTTTGGCAACCCGCCATTTTGGCATCTTACTCTTTGCTAAAACCGCTCTAGTAACAGGTGCATCGCTAGTAGTAACAAGAAGCTATTAGAATTAACAAGAAGCATCTTACTCTTTGAAACCGTGATCTCATCCAAAACATTTCTCTATTCCTTTTCTTCGTCCCTTTCTAAGTTTTTGTTGGGCCTTCAATTTCCCTTCCTTGAGACCTTTCTTTTGGAAGCGTTCTTGTTTCTAGTGGTTTTAATGCGGTATGGAGAAGGCGTTCTTGTCCTCATGGTTTTGCTGTTCTGGTTCGCTCAAAAGATTTTTTCGACATCGCATTCTCAGTCTTGTGGCATGGTTGTCTAGCCTCTTGTTGCGGTTCTCGTTTCTGTGTCCAACCAGAATAAACGGAACAGCCTGGCGCTCCAGACCCGCCTGCGGGCAAGGGCCCTCGTCGTACTGGACGAAAATTCGGTTCGCTTGCTCAAAAAGGACCTCCGCCAAGCGGTGTGAACTCAAGCCAGCCACAGGAACCCTAGCCATTTTCTAAAAACAACACACAATTGTTCTTGTGGCAAGAGAGTGAGCTTAGGGTTTGCCGGACAGCGGTGGCAAAGAAGATTCTGTTGTTGAAGAGGAACTGTGGCAGTTGGAGAGGATCCTGAGAAACCACGGCAGTAATGAAATGCCTCTAACTCCAAAGCCATGTTGGTGTACAATGGATTCCGGTCCGTCAGACGTCAGGACAGAACATGTGACACATCGGTCCAAAGCAGAAACCTACAAATGCCCCTAGTAGCTTCCTGTTCCTAGTAGTAAGGCACTTGTTTCTAATAGCTTCTTGTTACTACTAGTAAGGCACTTGTTACTAGAAGCGATGCACTTGTTACTAGTAGCTTCCTGTTCCTAGTAGGCCAGGAGCCCCCAGTAGCGTCCTTGCTCCATTGTTCCTAGTACCGTCCAAAAATGACCGAAACTAGGGACTCTGTAGGGCATCTCCTGAACTGAAACTGCCCGAACGTTGGCTCGCCCCGCCGGGACCCGTCCGGGGACCCGTCCGGCCCTGTCGGGCCTTGGCTTCTTCGAAGTGGCCCTGTCCAAAATGCTCGATGGCCTCCTCGTGAAACCTGAGAGAAGCGAGCGTTGCAAGCGCGTTGCAAGCCTCTAAGAGCCCAACAAGTTCCAAAAACCAATGCTTGACACGTCCCTGCAAGAGTTCTCAAAAGTCTGGCGGCACAAACTTAGATTCTTTGTAGTTGTCATTTTCCAAGGCAGCGAGAAAAAACACAAAGAGAACAAGTATATATCCATGTCTGAACTCATTCAACAGCCTTGCTTCTTGCTGAACTCTTTCACTCATGACACAAACCAACAAACATGCAAGCTTACAAACTATACAAACATCACTACAGAGGGTCTATCCTGCCCACAGAGTCTGTCGTCCATCCTCTCTGTCCCACTAATCAACATCCGGCTTCAAAGCCGCCTCAAACAATCTTTTAGAATGTGAAGGAAAGAGAAAGAAAGTCCGTTAACCAGTCTCCCTTTCCGGTTTTCGCAAGGATCTTGGTTCAACACTCTCATCACAACGTTGCGAACATCTTAATATCCCTGCCTTTAACAGTCGGTCCCTTTTGACTTCTAAGCTTCCGTTCTTGACTTTCTTTCTTCCTCTATGTTTCCTCTATTAGGTTGGAGGCCATCGCTATTAGCGTTTCTGTTCCTCTATGCCTTCCTTTCTTGCTCTATACCTTCCTCCATTCCTGTCTTTTTCCAGTCGGTCGGACTCAGTCCGATCAATCTGGGACCCCAACTCCGCGGCTTGTTCCAAGTCCGGCGGCACTTGTCCTGGGAAACATCATGATGAATGAATTACTAACAAATAGCTACTAGGGGCTCCTGGCCATACTACTAGGAGCAAGTAGCTACTAAGTTTGACATGGTTTGACTTCGGAAGCCTTCATGAAAAGGCGCAGTCGGTGCATCACTCGTCCGTCCTTTGCGGCCAATCACCTCCAGCGTGTGCGTGGGCGTCGTACGGCCTTTCAACACAAGCCTCAGGCTCGAGAGGTCCGGTCCGAAGCCAAACAAGCACGTTCTTCGGACAAGCGTCCTTGCTCCTAGTAGCGATACCCTTTGTTACTAGTAGCTCCTTGTTCCAAGTAGTAATGCCAGGAGCTACTACTAGTAGTAGTAGCATTCAAATGAAATAAACGAAATAGAGGTGTAAATGCTCTTCCAGTGCAAATGGCACCCAATTCATAGCCCAGCTGAACTGCTCTAAGCTCCGGGCTTTCCAACGGTCCTGGCCACAAAGAGATCTCCCACCGAAGACTGCAATGTCTCAGCACCTCAGAGAGAATGGAATATGTCAGTTTTGAAATGGGCATAACGAGAGAAGACTTTGACGCAAAGCTCTGAGGAACACCCTGACGACGTCCAATTCGACAAGGTACAATACATTTTGGATGACGATTTTTAAGTGCATCGCTTCTAGATCTTCTAGTAACAAGTGCCTTACTAGTAGTAACAAGAAGCTACTAGGAACAAGTGCCACGCTAGTAGTAACAGGTGCCACGCTAGTAGTAACAG